TGTCCGGGAAACGGCCACGTGGTTGTCTTGGTTAGACAGTCGTATAGGTGTCGTGTAGTGATTTTATAGAACAATGTTCCACCCAAAAGGGAGCTGCTCTCTGCGACGAATTTCTTCCGGATGGATGCCGTCGGACTCCTGCTATAATGTTGGGACAGGTCGAATTGAATTTATATTTGGATCAGTTGGCTTGGCGCCTGGTCTGATCATTTTAGCCATGAGCCTTTGATAATTCTTGGTGAACTGTATTCTGGGAGAGTAACCGGTTGTGTGGAACAAGCGGCGTGCCCCTCTTAAGTAAAAATTAAACATGGAGAGTAGCCGACTGTTTGTCAGTAGACATGCCCCTCTTAGGTAAAAATGAAAATTAAACATGGAGAGTAGTCGACTGTTTGTCAGTAGGCATGCCCCTCTTAGTACAGAATTGAATAAACATCAAACTTTTATTAAGTAGCCCTCGACTATTTACATCATTCAAAAGAAATATTTCTTAAGATTATCTACATTCCAGGTTCGAGGCAACGGTTGGTCGTCTGGTGTTTCTAGACGGTAGGTACCGTCCCTGACCTCTTCATAGATTCGGTAGGGTCCTTCCCAGTTGGGAGTTAGTTTGCAAGACTCATTAGCCCTACCAACTGCTTCCATTTTTCTAAGTACAAAGTCCCCCACTTAGAGTGGACGCCTGTGTACTTTTTTGTTGTATGATCTAGTCATTCTCAGGCGGTAAATTTCATGGCGCAAGACAGCATTGCCCCTCCTTTCTGGGAGTGAGTCTAATGCCAGGCGCATGGCTTCCCAGTTTGCCTCTTCGTCATATAGCATTACTCGAAGAGTCGGCTCGCAGTGTTCTATTGGAAGAACACCTTCCGCACCATAAGTTAGGAGGAATGGAGTTTCTCCAATCGCCCCTTTTTCAGTCGTCCTAACGGCCCAGAGAACATGTGGCAATTCATCCGCCCATAGGCCGCCTGCTCGTTCAATCTTTTTCTTGAGACCGTCTGAGATGATTTTATTAAAAGCTTCTACCTGGCCGTTTGCTTGTGGACGGCCGACTGATGCAAAGTGGTGTGCAATTCCTTGGTCACCCAACCAGCTTTTGAGAACAGGCGTCTCAAATTGGGGACCATTATCAAAGACCATAGAGATGGGAACCCCGAACCGAGTGATGACATTTTTCCAGATGAATGAGATTACATCCTTCGTCTTGATTCCCTTTACAGCCTCCGCCTCCACCCATTTAGTGAAATAGTCGACTGCAACAAGTATGTACCTCCTTCCGCCTGTAGCAGGCATATAGGGACCCAGAATATCCATGCCCCACTTAGCAAACGATAGTGGGCTATGAATGGTAGTGAGGTCAGTAGCCGGACGGTGAATTAGTTTGCCAAACCTTTGGCACTTGTCACATTTTTTCACCATCTCCATTGCATCTGCTTCTAAGGTAGGCCAGAAGTAGCCCTGTCGTCTTGTCCTTCGAGAAAGTGACCTACCGCCTATGTGGGAAGCGCAGTAACCAGAGTGAAGATCGTCTAGTATCTCTCGCCCCTTTTCTGGAGTAACACGCTTTAAGTAGGGTTGAAGGTACCCTCTTTTGTGAAGTTCTCCCTTTATCATTTCAAAACTAGCTGCCCGTTTTTTCAGCGCTGCCGCCTGGTGATGATCATCCGGCAGGGTACCGTCTGTCAGATATGCCCTGATTGGATCCATCCAGGTTGAGCTTCTGTCTAGGATTCCAATAGGGTCTTCCTCGATGCTTCTCTTCTCCATTACTTCCCAAAAAACAGTTCGAGGAGTATCACAAGAGGCAGACGATGCTAATTTTGAAAGTGCATCCGCCTGGTTGTTTTCTGATCTCGGCACTTGAGTCAGATGGAAATCTTCAAGGGAACCGACTGCCTGTCGTACCGCCTGTAAATACTTGATCATGACCGAATGGGTTGCTTCGTATTCGCCATTATACTGACTCACTATCAATTGTGAATCGGAAAAAGCGTTTATCTTTCGCGCCCCTGCCGCCTTGCACATGCGGATTCCGGCTAGTAAAGCTTCATATTCTGTCTCATTGTTTGAAGCCTGAAAACTGAAGCGTAGAGCATATTCGTACCTGTCGCCTTCTGGCGACTGACATATGACGCCTGCTCCACAACCATTTGAAGTAGAGCTTCCATCTACATATACCTTCCAGACTTGGTCTGGATCTCGAGAATCAGGGGGACGAGTCATCTCAACAATAAAGTCAGCAAAGGCTTGCCCCTTCACTGCTTTTCTAGGCTCGAAAGTAACTTCGAGGCTCTGTATTTCTATGGCCCATTTGATCATCCGGCCTGACGACTCCATGGTGGTCAGTGGCCGCTTGATAGGTTGATCCGTATACACGACGACTGCATGTGCCAAAAAGTAAGGCTTCAATTTTTTAACAGCCATGAAGAGTGCAAGACCAAATTTCTCCACTAAGGGATACCTCAACTCGGCATATTTCAATACATGACTGACAAAGTAGACCGGGAGCTGACAACCGTCTCTTTGGGCAAAGGGCTGACCAGCCTTGGCAAGGAATGCAAGTGAACTTTCAATTTCTGGAAGGCCGCCTCAGCATCCGGCCCCCATTCAAACCTTGCCTTCTTCTTAATGGCCTGGAAGAAGTATAAGCATTTGTCGCGTGATCGGCTTAGAAATCTTCCCAAGGCCGCCAGACAACCTGTTAACTTCTGAACCTCTCGGACGATACGAGGCGACTGCATGTCGATGACCGCCTGCACCTTCTCAGGGTTCGCCTCTATTCCTCTCTGATTGATAAGGAATCCGAGAAATTTCCCAGACACAACTCCAAAATACACATTTCTTGGGATTAAGCATGACATGGTGCCGCCTGAGTGTGGCGAAAGTTTCTCGGAGGTCCGACAGATGATCTATCTGAAGCTTAGATTTGACAATCATATCATCAATGTATGCCTCGACATTTCTCCCAATCTGATCAAAGAACACAGTGTTTATCATTCGCTGGAAGGTGGCCGGGGCATTCTTAAGACCGAACGACATGACCGTGTAACAGTATAACCCTTGATCAGTGACAAAGGCCGTCTTTTCCTGATCTTTCTTCCATAAAGGAATTTGATGGAAAACAGAGTAGGCGTCCATAAAGCTCATCAAAGCATGGCCGGCTGTTGAGTCGACCAGGTTATCAATTTTAGGCAGAGGGTAACTGTCTTTGGGGCACGCCTTGTTTAAGTCTGTGTAGTCTACACACATTCGCCAGGTGCCATTCGGCTTTTTAACAAGCACCACATTTGCAACCCAGTCTGGGAAGTAACATTGCCGAATGAACCCTGCATCAAGTAGTTTTTTAACTTCGGCGGCTGCCGGCTGACTTCTTTCTTCGCCATGGTTCCGTTTTTTCTGCCTTACCGATTTCTTTTTCGGATCGACAGCCAGTTTATGTACCGCCAGGCCAGGACTAATGCCTGGCATTTCGTGGATTTCGAATGCAAAGATGTCCTTGTATTCTTTCAATAGTTTGTGCAAATCGTCACCCAGGACTCTCAGAGCAGTCGTCCCAACTTTGACTGTTCGGTCAGGACGTGAGTCGTCCAAGATCAGATCCGTATGCTCACCAGCTGGCTGAGGGCGGAATTCGTCCGACCGCTCCTCTGCCAATGATAGCTATTTTCTGTCTTTTCTTGCGGCCCCCGTCTGGGCTGCCTTTCTCTTTTTGCCGCCTGCTTCTTGAACAGGCGCACTCTCCTTGACATTGTCAAGGTCTGCTTTTCCACCACTTGACCCAGCTGTCATAACAGTGGGCTTGATATCCGAGAGATAGCACTCTCGGGCCATCCTCTGATCTCCCCTTAGGGACCCGACTGTTCCATTATCCCTCTCAAACTTGAGCAACATAAGAGATGGGATTATAACAGCTTTGGAATTATTCTTGGTTGGTCGTCCCAGAATCATGTTGTAGGCCGAGAGTTCTTCTACTACCAGGAACCGGACTACCATGTGTCGTCCTTCCCCTTTTTCACCCAGGGGGATGGGTAAATCCGCTCGTCCCACTAGGTGGACGACTCCTCCTCCAAACCCTAATAAAGGACGGGATGTCGGATGTATGCAATCAGTCTGATTACCAGTCCGACTGCTCCTTGGCCAGAGCAGGCTTCTTGTTGAGCAACTCTTGAATCTCTCCCTTGAAGCCCCTCATGAAAGTCATGAGTTCGTTCCTTGTAATGGGAGCAGACCCATCAGTCGGCCGCTGCTGAACAGGCGGTGCGCCGGCTGGATCACTGAGTCCAGTTTGAAGATGTTCCCGTTCCCTCCTTTCGGTATGACGGGTGCGTCGGGCCCTTAGGGTCCCATCTGAAGCTGTGTGAGCTTCAACTTCAAATTCTTCCTCAGTATCATGGTCCGACTGAACTTGAGGGTCGTCCAGGGGACGCCTCTCTTCAGGAGTCGGTACAGACGTAGATGTCATCTCAGAAGTACTCTCCCCACAGACGGCGCCAAAATGTTTCGGGGTTTTCTGATGTCCTGCGGGAGAGTTACAATTCCAACACTGGAACCGGACGCCTGTACTTGCAAAACAAACGCATGCTCCGGATGATTGGAGATCCGCCTCCGACGGTCAAGTTAGTACTTGATTAAGGGATAATTAATGCGGAAATTAAAGTGATTGGGTCTCTCTAGGTGAGAGTGTTTAATGTGCGTAATTCTCCTTTAATGAAGATTAAGGGAGGTATTTATAACCTTGGGAAACGTGTCAATCCTAGGTTTAGGTTAACCTTGGGCTGATTGGGCTTCCCTCGGAAGTTGGGCCTCGGTGGCCGGTTTCTCCATTAGGCATGGAGAATGCCACGTGTCATGACATAATAGGTCCAGGGTGGACGAATAGGCGTGTGCCACGTGGCAAGCCCTGACAGTTCCAACTGTGGGACACTTGGCAGGACCTGATTGGCCCACGTGGCGCATTCCGATTGGTGGGAGCAAAATCCCCTAATCAACACCTGTAATAATGAGAAAGAATTGATCACGTTTTTATTGAGGAAATGCAGAATCAGATATATGCCATATAATAACTCAATTATACACCGCATAATAAGCTGCACATATGATAGGGGGGAACAATGGCAACTAGACGAAAAAGCCCTGGAGAGCACTATCCAGAAGGTGACGCAAAAGAATGGCTATCCATAAAATATTCATCACTCGTTCTCTTCACTTGGGCTTTGTTTTCCTTTTCATTCCCTTACAAATGTTCATTATTTACAGTATCGAATAAGCTCGGATGACCTCAACAATGGGTGCCCTGCACAAAGGGCACTTGCCTCCACCACGAACCAACTCATTCGCACACTTCAAACAGGTGCACATGTGGCCACATCTGTGAAAATGAAAATATATCAAAGAATAAACCACATGTATTCATTTCAAACTGTACTCTTCAATTTATAGGAGGGTTGTGCGATAAAAAGAGAGAGAAAAGAGCCAGTAGCTATGTAATGGGGAGAGAATATAAAAGTTCCCAGGAGACGAGAAGATATAAATCACGAGCCAAAAGAAATTAAGGGAATGTTTCAAGATGAATTATTTCAAAACAAAAGAAAATAAGGGATTGTTTCAAATTGAAATTATTTCAAGACATTAAAACACACACACACAAACACACACATAAACACACACACACACACACACACACACACCTCATTTTAGCAAAATAGAGTAAAATTACAACATACCTGTACAACAGAGAATCAATATGGTTGTCACAACAAACACAACATGTCCCCTTCCTCACATGTCCCCAACTGGAGCCGTCCTCGGAGGTCTCAGCACCTAAACCATAAATAAGTTAGCAGTAGACGTTTGTCATTCACCTTAAGGTAATCAACTAATGTTGAACCCACTTGGAAGGGAGGGGAAAGGAGGAGGGTGTAAAGGAGTTCCAGTCCCAGGCATGCCAGCATCAAAAATTCTTAAGAGAGGCTATATATATTCATTAACCCTTCACTTCATATGTTTTTTGGGGTAATTTGGGAAGGGGATTTGTCAAACTTTTACAAGAAAGAAAACATAAGAGTGGGTAATGAGAAGCACCTTGTCCACCAGTACATCGATTTAAAGCTGCGGAAACCTCTTGCCGAACAGAACGCTGCAACTCAACCTGCATGTCCATGCAGGCTTCTAGCATCCTCTGCATGTGGTTCATACCTTGCTGAAGCCTAGCAACATCTGCTCGAAGATCATTCATCATCTCCCACTCCTGTCAAAGGGCAGCAATGAATGAATAATCAAATTAAACCTCCATAAAAACAATTGTCAAGACCAGACCCAATATCATAAAATCATAATGAATTGTTTGAATATGAGCCCTTTACAAGTACAAGCAAGAAAGTTTTCTCTAGTACTCATCATTCCCATCATATAGTAAGGACCCATTTGGTTTGATGAAAAATGTTTTCATGGAAAATAATTTTCCCCCTTTTTTTTTGGTTTGGTTAGTGAAGAGGTGGAAAACAATTTTCCCAATAGTGGAAAACTGCATCCTTAATGATGGAAAACATTTTCCTTTACAAAACAAGGGAAGCCACATTTACCTCCCTCCTCCTTACCTCATTTTTACTTACCTCTCATCCATCCTCACATTCCCACTCCTACTTTTGATTTTTCTTGAACTTTTCTTGTATGCAAACAAACAAATATAAACTAATTTGCAATTGTGATTTTCCTTGCAAATATGTTTTCCATGAAAACTAATTTTACATTGAAAATGTTTTACATCAAACCAAACAGGGCCTAAATGTGCATGCCAACATCAGACAGCAATATAACTAAAGTCATCAGTACTAGCCATCTTAAAAGGCCATATCTCTCAACATCATTCACCTCTATTCAAATTTGAAAAAGGCCATACTACGAATGAAAATCTTGATGGTAAAACTTCAAGAAGGTTAGATCCTGCTTTATGAAGAGATTCCAAGTGCCACTATCAAACTCTAATGGAAACCTGTGATCCAATGTAGTTTTGCTTCACTCTTGAAGTGGGATATTTAACAAGTTCGTGTTATCTCTTTTTAGTTTGTATCATAGATTTTTAAAGTTCCAAGTTATTTTCGATTGAATTCATTGTTCATTTGTGAGTTATATTTGATGCAAGAGAAAAACTTGTACAGCAAATACAATTAAAAGGGCTATGAATTGGTAGTTCACAAGCTTATTGATCTTAATTGGTGACCTAAACTAATTGCTTAATGATGTTAAAGTTTATACGAAATTTGTTAGAAGTAATATGTGTATTAAACAGGATATAAGGTTCACATAACTTAAGCTGATTGTTTTCCTACTCTACTCAGGAGTGTTACAAGGTTTATAGAGTAGGAATATCTTCACTGAGGGTGATTTGAAATTATTTCAGTAGAAAATAATCTGAAACTTTCAAATCTATCCTAGTTACTTTGATCACTATTGAAGGACAAATTTGGAACTTAATAACTAAATAAAATCTGTATCACTAACCCTTTCTTACCTAATGAGTTCATACCACATGGCAGGACTATGAAGTTAACTAGAACATAAGATTGAATACTATAAATGAAAATAGGCTTACCAGCTCTGAACGATGCATGCTATGCCTAGACCAGTTAGCATGATGAATAGTCCGTTGCCAGAGGGGCTGTGGAGGCGGTACAGGTGGAGATGGATGAACAAGAGGTACTCGATTGTCTGTATCACTGGCATTTGATTCCTCTGGTTGAGACTCCAGATCACGCCGTGATGTAACAGAAGTGGGCAAATTTCTATGAAGATCCAAATCAACAGGAGCACGACCTTGCCTTTGCACATAAGATTGTATCAATTGGTCCAGACTTTCACGGAATCCACTATGAAGAAGAGTTGAAACACTCCTCCTGGAAGAAGAGGAACCAAACCTCAGGTTTTTAAAGAGATCAATACTATTACTACCTCAGTTTCTCAACATTATTGATTGTAACTATTTGCACGAAATTTAAGAAAAGCAAAACAAGAGAAATTTTGGGGTTGCAAGTGGCATAAGTAGGTCCTGTGATTGAGTACTGGGGGTAAAAGTGAAAAAATTAATTGCAAAAATGGAATAAAGTAAAAGTGTAAAGAAACAAAAATGGGTCCCTTTTTTTTTATCTCTTTATACTTCCTCCGTTCTACTAATTTTGCAACAATTGGAATTTTACACTATTCATCACGCTTGTTTGACCACATATTATGATTTATACGTAAAGTAAAATATAGTCATGTGCGGTCTTGTTAGATTCGTCTCGTAAAATACTTTCACAATATCAACTTTTTATAATTTTTACTCTTATATAATTATAGATATTTAGCATATAAAACGTGCTTTTGGATGCGTAATTTCATCCTTGTTGCAATATTTGTGGAACAGAGGAAGTATCACTTTATATCTATCTCCTCTCATTAAAAATTGTGCATCCCTCCCACATTGCAGTTAAAAGAGAAGAGAAGAAATATAATGCTATATACTCTATTTCAATTGCAATAAGATAACTTTCATGCTTACTAACGCATAACTATGATCATATTATTATTAGAATTCTTTAAATAAAAATATTATTAGAAGTTGATATTTTAAAAGCATACATTGAAACTAATCAAAATAGTTTATAATAACAACTGTTTTTTTTAGGTTGGTAAGAAAATGTAATCAAAGGTTGTGCAAGTGCAAAAATCAAAATGTTGCAATCAACATTAAATTGTCAAAACACGTGCTATTACACATCTAAAAAACCATTTATATACTTACATAATATGTGTTAATGTGTACGACACTTATAAAGGTTTCAAAACTAGTACTCGTATGCATAATAAATTCATACACCAGAATGCATACCTGCTAAGCAGTTCACGAAGCTCCATGCTGTAAACATTATCATCAGGAGGGTGAAATCTATTGACTTGTCTAGTTGAAATGCCACGTCGAATTCGTGGAGGATTAGAAAACTCTCGAGACAAAGTCCCTAATGTTGCTCGAGAACCATTGTCAGGCCAAATTTGTTGACCAGTTAAATTATTCTCTTCTTCACTATCATTCCCTTCAGCAGTCGGCCGCCAAGCATTTCCTGCAGTTTCCTGCCAATTACCATTCACATTTGACTGCGAGTTATCTCTCCATTGATTAAGAACTGCAGAATTTGGCTGCGGCAAGTTCCTCTGCTCATCTCCTGTGACCTGTTCCTGCCAATCCCCCCTATGAATAGCACTTTCTTCCCCAACCAAGAGATCAGCAGAAGCTTCATCAGGCAAAATTATGGTATTATTTGTGAACTCACTAACTCCATCACCATGGACCCTAGATTGCAGTTGGTGCGAATTCAAACCATGAACCTCAATTGGAAAGTCAAGTCGTTCCTGATCAATTGGAAAATCACTTCCTGGATCGCCAAATGAGGCCCCAGAGTTGCTCATTGTTTGACCATGTACAATAGTTTCTAGGCTGGACTCTCTAGAGCGAAAACCTTCTCTGAAAATGGCATAGTGTAAGACTCATTCATTAAATTCCGAGCACAAATATAAAATTAAATTTAAGATCCAAGTAACAGGCACCGTCATTGACCCAACTTTTGAACTGAATTAACAATTTTAAAATCCAAACTGCATGACTAGCTAGACAGATTCATCATTCAAATAGATATACACAGGACATCCATTGGGAGTCTTGAACCAAATAGATTTAAAAAACAATCATACTGGGGAAAAGAAAAGGAGAAACTATAAGTAATAAAGGTATATCTACTACTGCAGCTATATACTTATGATTACACCAGATTTAATAGATGTAAACAACACAATCAAAAGCTGGTGGGGCTTGCATTATATAAAACAAGGGCCTGGATAAAAATCAATCCCTCATTAAAAGACAACAGTTCAAAATTAATGATAAGCATGAAGAGCATGCATGCTAAAATATGGCTGATGTAATCCCAATAGATTCCATTATACAACTAGGATTTCCTTACTCCCCAAAGCTATTGTTTTTCTCATTTTCTCATTTGGAAAGCTGTACCACGTGCATGGTATACCCATGTGTATAACAGACATCATGTGGAACCCCTTATTTCTTTTGGCGAAGAGATTAATTTTAGGTCTAAGAAAGAAGATATGTATTGACGGCTGTTAGTCTTCAGACATTCCTCGAATCCAATGGCGATCAAACTTATTTAGATTCAACACATGCAAGAATAATCAAATCACAAACTTATACCTCAAAAATGTGAGATACAATGAAATCAATAAGTTTGATGAGGTATAAACAATTTCATAATTAGTAAATTTATACACAAAGGAAACAACTCACTCGTATAGAATGCTCTCCCCTGCTATTTGTGAAAATAAAGGCAATGTAGAGATGGTGGTCGCAAGCTTGTTAATGGCAATTGCATAAGTCAAACCACTAAAGTATATGCTGGTTTTCATCTTTGATTCTCTCTCTATTTTTCATTTCTAATCATAGTATCCTAAATTTCATATGATACATTTACATGATTTTGGGTCTAATAACGTCCAAATATTCATACAAAATGTGATTTTTTCTTCATTCCTTTAATATTGCAACATGGGGAGGCATTAACGCTAAGCACAATTTAAACCTTACATTATTTATATATAACAATAAAATTAATAAAAAGTTAATGTTAAATTTATATCAAGAGGATCTAACAAGAATCTATATAACTATATTTTTTTCCCAAACGCATAAATCACAATACGTGATTAACGAGAAGTGTGTAAACTGTAAATAGTGTCAAAAGAGCAAACATTACAAAATTACAGCGATGTTACAAGTATATTAGTTAAATACACACAAAAGCGAGATCATCAAATCCAGTACACAGCTTCAAACAAAAAAAACCTGTACACAGTAAAATTTATTTACAACAACCCAGTTCCCTACCACCAGTAGCTCACAATTTAAAATAACAATAAAAATAATTATGGCAAAAGCCAGTCTAAAGTAATTATTGCACAACAATGGAAAAATTAGCACACCTCAAATCAGAAACAGTGTTTCGCTGTCTCAACTGAAGTAATTCACTTGCAGCAACTGAAGGCGGCCTTTCATCCTCAGTAGTTCTTTCAGTCCTCAAAAATCTACCTCTGAGAAATGACTGTAATAATAAATCACAAATGACGTCAATAGTTTTTTTTTTTTAAAATCCTTGAGAAACTAAGTTGCGGTGTTTGATCGATCAATATTAAAAGCTGTCATGCTTGGAGAATTATCAAACTTCAAAAAAATGTAGTGCACAAAACAAATGGCAGGAACACAGAATGGTATCTCTACCTCAATCATTCAAAAATTTCGTAAATATACCTGCCAAACAGTGGATAAACATCTTCACAACATACCTGGATGGCTGGATCTCCATATAACCCTTTAAATGTCACTACTATACAAGTAAACAATTCAAAAATTCGTTGATAAATACAAGATGGCATCAGGCATTGACTGCAAGATCCCTCTTGAAAAAGAACCATGTCAAGGACTCAAGGGTAATAACAACCACTGACAAAACAAAAAGTGGGTAGAACAAGAGGAGTGTGCGTGTGTGTGTCTTGGGGGGGGGGGGAGATAATATTTATCCCTTCTTGATTTTTTATATTGGCCACACTCCATTTCTTAGTTCCCTTCATGTTATAGCATCTTCCGTGCCCCCTGCAACTCTTTCCTTTGTCATAACATCTTCTAACTTTACTCCACCCCTACAATTTGCATCATGCCCCATCACCAGCTATAGTGGATGCAGAGATGGAGAGAGCACAATCCAAAGAGTAACCTCTCTTCAATCACTGAAAGCCTTAATGTATCATACTTCTTCAGCGACATTTCAGATCTAGATTTAAAATACAAACCCTAAATCTTACAAAGTTGTATATTTTAAAATGTTTATTATTTTTTCAGATGATTCAATGTGGTGCTAGGCACACAACTGTTTTTTCCCAGCATTTTTTTCAATATTAATAAAGTGTGCCACACTTCAACGTAGCATAACAAGGTGTATAAAGGCCCAACTAAGTTACAGGGAAATCCCCATTGTCTTAGTGTGTCTTTTTATATATATGTTAACAGAAATGTCGATCTTGCAAGACATAACTACTTTATTAAGGCAAAAAACTAATCGAACGGGGAGGAGATCAAGATTCCAGAACTTAAGGTGAACCAATTAATTAAAATGGAAAAAGAGAAAGGGGATGCTAAGTAAACTAAATATAAAGTTAGAGCAATTCCTTGTCCCTTTCCATGTCACTCCTTACATAACTACATAACCCCTAGATTTGTCATTTCCCTACCCATCTATCACAGCAATATAAGATTGTTGAAAGTACATTCTGAATTTCCAATCTCTTTATACATGTAGAATTAGGATGAAATGAAAAGGGGCCATAATATAAGAAGGGTGAGAAGGATTGTTGAACCTTAGGTTCAAAAACCAACACATAAGTATAAATGATAGTAACCGAGTGACCATCTATTTGTTACACCTCTATTTCATTTTCATTCAATTAATTAACATACCCCCGCCCCAGAACAATTATTCAGGGATGAATCAACTGGAAATCATTGTGACTTTATGAGCACGATAAACAAGACAAGAAATATTTTGGCTCCTCAGCAGCTTGCCATTTATTTAAATTTCATTACAAAACTTCTACCATTGATGCTTAGCAGGTCTTTTAGAGTAATCAGTTACACTGAGTTAAGACACAGCCTAGAGTCCCTGGACCCCCACGACGGGCAGCAGTGGGGAATCTACGATACTGCACAAATGTCGAAATTATGCAACTCGGTAAAGTGAAAGACAAATAAGGGAGGGCCTACTATCATAACAAATAGAACCCCTCTAATACAAAAAATAAATAAATAAATAAAAATAGAAGGGCTCATTTATGGTGCCACAAACTTCGAATTATAATATCTAATGAAATTGGCCTCCTAAGAAGTGTAGGTGAAAACAGACAAACTTTTACAGTGTTTACTAACACGTGGACTGGTATGGCTACGTCAACATGCCAGGAGACTCACACAGGCGTTTGAGGAATCAACATATAAACATAAGCCATGAGGCAGATCTTATAATTAGTTTAACTCTCCGGATTCAACAATGCTAATAATACATCCCATACAAGGAACCATGCTATATTATGCTAATATATATTTTTATACACTTGTTGATGTGGTAGCATCATCTTCCAGATAAGAGCTGATACATGGTGTATCATTAAGTAATAAGATCAATAAGGTACGGAGGTAGTAATTTTTTTCTGAAAAAAGTTAAAATTAAGTTCAATCAAACATATCCAAACATGCATTGTCCAAGGTGGTAACCTTAGACATCTTTGAGTAACATTCCTATCAGTGTTAGAGAAGAAAAAGTTTGCATAAGGGGTAGGTAGTCTATACCTAATCATAATATTCAGATTTGAAAGAGTGCTCCTTGAAATAAAAACAAATCTACAGCAACATAGTTGCTGGACAAGAGGTATGTACCATACGGTGCCCGAACACACAACAATATACGTCCTTCATTCTTTTTAATCGCAATGTTTGAGATTTTGCACTATTCACACAAGCTCCTTTAACCGCCTTTTATGAACTATACGTTAGGAAAAACATAGTCATGTAGGATCTTGTTAAATTCTCATAGTTTTTCATTGGTGTGAAAACTCTAACGTCGCGATTTAAAAAAGAATGGAGGAAGTATAAACTAAGGATCATGCTAATGTGGATGTGAAGAAGTTTGAAATAATTAATCAAGTTGATCTTTTTAAATATTGGCATTGGTTTATCTTGTGGGTTAAAATAACATTAGCATTACTATAAAGAAGGATCATTAATGTATTTTATGAGCTAAAGGATATATTAGAAGTCATGTTAGGGTTTTAATACTATTAGGGTTTATGTATAAGAAGAACATTGTAATGTATTATAATTAATTTTCGAGGAGATTACAAAATTTGAGTTTATTCCTTTGTGGAATTACCCGGCACATAAACCATTAATCTTATTTTCAAGAGTGATTAAGATTATTGTTATCAGTTACTTTTATTTTAGGGTCAAAATTCATATCATTCATAGCATCTATGCAATGTACAGTAACTTTTGGTAGATTTATCAACATCAATACATCATGATATGCATCAATATTTTTTTTATTTTCCTTCCTAGAGTAGATACATGTAACCAAATAAATGTAAATTTCAATACTTGTCATAATTCAATTTATTTTAGGGGCCTTTGAGCATAAACAATGGTTACTTAATTCCAAACTAAGATTTTTTTTATATTGTTTAAGAATGTTTAATTGTTAGTTTAATTGTTAGTTTTTCCAAGAAAGGATCCTAGTTTCCAACATAATTTGTGCATACACATTTCAAAGAATCATTAATATTAAGTTACGAAATGTTTTAGCTATTTAACTGATTTATTTCAAGAATTAGTGTTGCCTTCCTACTTTCATTAAGAGACTTATAAATCTATAAACTAGCCCTAAATGCATGCAATGCGTGTTGTTGATTGTTTGAAAAACAAAGTTTGTAAATCTAAGTTTTAAACATACTAAGGCTTTATTGTCTTCACTTTATTCATATAATATTTACTTCAGTAAAAATAACAGAATTTGGCAAAAACGAATTAACTTCAGCAAAAAAAAGATGTTAAGTTCGGTAAAAATAAGTTCACATCAATAAAAATAAGTTATAAAATGGCAATAATGTTGATTAAACTTGTTTAAATTTGTAAGATTAAATCCATATTCTATAAGAGCAATTCTGACATTTTAGGTGGACACCTAAACTAATTGGGAGTTCCCTTATAGAATAGAGAAAAGCCTTAGGAGTTGTGACTATTCATCGTAAAAGTCGTTCCGTGGGTTTATGTGTGACCCAAACCATGAAATTATATTGATATTGGCAAGTGAAACCAAATGAGAGATTGTTGAGTTAAAACTTAATTCAAGCTTAGGTACATTGGTTAAGTGAGTGAAACTAAATCTAACATTCACCAAGTGAAGCTTTTGAATTTAAGATAGAAACCTTTGTTGAAGATTGTGAAAAGCTAAAATAAATAACATCAAGTCTTGTTTATATCAAATAATACTATCAAAATTTGTATAGAAGCATGCTTATTGATGTCGATATTGAATTTTTAACATTTTTACATACTTCATTTGCAAGTACTCGGAAACATCTTCAACCTCGGAATATTCTTCACTATAAAGCAAGTTATACACAAGTACCCAACAGCCTCGATGTTGAGGTTGTTACTTTATCAACAAAAATTGAAAATATGCTCATTAGTGAGACACCCTTGCCTTTATTATAATCCCCAATCTTTATGACTTTCTTAACTTAAGAGCCTTTTGCATGGAACAAAACATTGCAATTTCCCAATTGTAGTTGACACACTACTACTATTCACCATAGTTCTTCATATAATTACTAATCCTTTTAGCTATTGTTTGATTATTCACAAGTAGTACATATCTAAGAAAAAGTTTTGCACAGCCTATTCTATGAAAAATCTCAGATATCCAGATACAGAGACCAAGTCATAGTTCTTTAGTAGAGCTAGGCCTGCAGAACATAAAAACATTCCAACTCAAATTAAGTCTAAACTCAATATATTACAGCAACCAAATCTCTATTCTAACTCTCTCTTCAGCACTCCAAGTAAGATGAAGATAAATACATCTAAATCTCGGTTCTCCTTGTCAACAGCCTTCCTCTCCTACAACTGAGGAAAAATTAGTACTTAGTCACTATTCTATTTGAATTTTAGAATATCTGAGAATTTTACATCCAACACAATATCTGTAAAATCTACAAGCATCAGTCTCCAACTCTCCATAACTCACTGCACTACATTTTTTTAAATCACTTCATGGTTTATAGAAGCTGCCATGTCCAGCACGAAATGAAAAATCATTATGCGTAACAGCATGATCTTGACTAATATTAGTTCAATTTAGTTGATCTGATAATTAGTGTTTTGACCTTGTATCCTCATCACATATTATCAACGTGGGCACATGTTTTGACCCTGTATCCTCATCACATATTATCAACGTGGGCACAGCACTCTACTTATAAACAATTAGGATTTCATTTCATATACATTGCAGAAAGCAGAACAGCTCGGTAACTGACTGACCTGAATGCGATTACGATGAGCAAAATCTGTAACAGCTCGTTGATCTAATAAACCCTGAAGCTCCCTCTGTCTTTCACGTTCTATTCTCATAAGCAGGTCTATTAAAGCTTGCCTTCCACGTAATCTCAACAAATCTCTCCGAATGTGCTCTGTCTGACCTTCTTCCTGGCGAACAAGGCCACCATGAACCTGATTCACTTCAGCTCCTAATCCAACAAGTTGATCTTCCGTACGTCCTCCCCGTGTTCTTTGCTGACTTGATGCATGCACCCACTCTCTCACAAGCCTCACCCGTTCACGTTCAGTCTCACCAAGCCATTCTCCTCTAGGGTTATTAATCCTCCCTGCGGCATCAGAAGAGCGTTCACTTATCCCACTCTCCATCCATCCACGAACAATCTGTCTCACCCTCTCCCTCTCCACTTCACCAAGATCAGGAGATTGCTCTCTGCTAGAATGATTAGTATTCCCCTGTTCGTTGCGGATCTCCATCTGATCATGAGACCAAGCCCCAAAATCTTGCTCACTCTCACTTGCATCCTCCACACTACCCTGATTCTCATCTGCTCTACTTTCCGACATTGTTATGGTTGAGACATCAGTATTGCTGTCCATGCTCCTTTGATGCCTCAGTCTCTCCCTAACCCTCTCTCTAGCACGATTCAACTCATGATCATCCTCCAATTCTCGCCACATTTGCAAGATAGCAGAAGCCCGAGTACTTGGCCTTTCCACTGTTCCCGACCTGCGTGAATTTGGAGACTGAGATTCCCTCAAAAAAGAATAATCAAGCATGGAAACAGGATGCAAGCCTGCAAGAGCCATCAACTCCGACTCCCGGTTCCGTCTCTCAATAGTGGTAATCATCTCTTGCGCTTGCCTCGCAGCCCACCTTCTTGAGTGCCGTCTCCTAGCAGCAGAAGACTCTGCTAGATCATCCCCTTCAAGATCAGACCTCCGCCTTCTACGCACAAGCTGATCACTCTCCTCATCCTCGTCCTCAGTATTTCGAGCTGAGCTACACGTGGCGTATGACATACAATCATCCAAATGCCCACGCATAAGCTCCTCTAGTCCACGCTCAAAATTCGCCCGAGCATCAGTTGCACTCTCAGCCTTTTGCTGCAATGGCCGGATATCCGTCATCTTCAACAAACCACACACACAAACACACTACACCCAAACTGACTTAATACACAACCTCAAAACCCCAACCTTCTATGGCCTTGATTCCGATAACCTTAAACAGTATACAACAAAACAACCACTCTTCACACAAACAATTCACAGGCTAAAAAACCCATCTAATCACAATAATCATAACAACCAATAACCCAATTCTTAATCGAAAATTAATAGTATTTACAAAAGCAACAGCAGCACTCTAAACATACTTTGATTCATCGTTCAAAACATATAACCTGATCAAATTGAAACCAGAAAGAAAATGTCAAGCCCCAGCTCAAAAATTAAGCAACCCAGAATTAAATTTCTGGTTATGAATCAACCCATTAACCAAATTTATTCCAACAATCATCAAATTGAAAAAAAAAAGGGCTACTTTATACAAAATTAGGGCACTTGAAAATGAAGAAGCGTACCTCGGAAGCCGTCTTCTTCTCAATATCAATTCGTACTTATAGTATTGAACAAACCCAAATCCCAACATATCAGCTTTTCAAAGTTCGAAGAATTGAACAAAAAATCTATAATAATATTAGAGAGAAAAAGAAATAATATTAGAGAGAAAAAGAAATAATATTAGAGAAGTGGTCTTATAAAAATTCAATTTAATTATTATTGTAAAATAAATAATTAGAATTTTATGATGGAATTTGTGTTTGATTAATTTTTTTGGTTTTTTTTTTTTTTTTTTTTTGGTGTGTAAAATGATGAGGTTTGGTTTTCGTGAAGGAGACCGGCGATCTCTCAAAAACCAAAAAAGAAGACAGGAGACCAGTGGGAAGCGGGGGTGGAAAGAGAGGAGCGTCGATCTACCAAATAATCTACACGTCATCGAATTTTTTTTAATTTTTTTTTAAAACAAAACTTTTTATTCATTATTCAAAAAATAATAATAAAAATAAAAATAAAACCTTGTATATTCAACATTGCCAGTTGTGGTTTTCCACGTAATCTATTTTGTCTATTTTGGTTGTTGCAAATGGATTATAACATTTTCACTGATGGTTCCAAAGGATCATATGATCGACTCTTATTACCCTGTCTTTATGGCTCTTTATACACCAAAAGAAAAAAAAAAAAAAAAAAAAAAAAGCAAACCTAATTACTATCTTAAGGCTCGTGCTCATAGATCGGTGGGCGATGGCGATGGCAATGCGGTCATTTGTGTCGGGTATAGATCAGGTTATGTTGAGTATATCTGTCTCATGAAAGGAATGGTGTCCTTCCAACAAGTGTATTATTCCGATAGAGGGTTCGGAATTATAAGAAAGCTAATTATTCAGAGAGGTCAAGTGATCGGAATGTCTAGATGGAGGCCGCTTCCGATCAGTAATATTAATGTATAATTAATATTACAGCTTAATCTTGACTGAACCCTTCAGGTCACACCCCAATCGAGTAACCGATCCAAGGTGGTGAATCAATCCGAAGGATTAGATGAGTCATTAGAGTATTGTGAACAAAGACGTCGGATATCGAGCTTAGAGCGTCGAAACCGAGCGTCGTAAGTCGAGTCGAATTTAGAATTCGACGAGACGAGGAATCAAGCAAACAACAAATTACAAATATACCCTAGCCTCGGAATGCCCCGAGCAATCCGAGAGCCAAGGGCAATATAGCTAGCCAAGGCAACCGCACCATTCCGAGCTAGCTAGCAGCGCATGCGTGCTAGCATCGCTGGCTAGCTAGCTTGTGCGGCATGGCCAGCATTGCTGGCGCGCTAGGCGTGCTAGCATGATAGTGCCTCGCACATAGCCGCACTATCACAAGGCCAGCAGCAAGCAAGTGCTTGTTGGGCCTCGCTAACACAAGCAACGCAGTAGCAGCAGCAGCACGCAATGCATGCGTGGTCTGCGGGTGTGCGTGCTTGCGTGCTGGGCTGCGTGCACGCACAACGCCCAGCTAGCAGGCTTAGTGCCACAGTCCGAGAGTTTTGACACTGGATCGTGCGGCGCGCACTTGTCTTCTGGCGACAAGGACGCAAGCCTAGAGCGGAGGGGGTTCGTGGGCACACAACAACACGGACCAAAGGTATCTCAAGGAAGCACTCGCTAACAACGGGTGCGGAGTCGGGGCTTGTGACGGCCGATATTTCGAAGCGGGCACAAGCGGGACCGACGATAAAGAAGGCGTCTTTCGAGGTTCTCTTGATTTGGAGGGGATGCTTTAAAACAAGGCAAGCACAATATCTATAAAGGCTTAAATCAACACACAAGTCTTAAAGCAAGGCAACCGGGATAGGAGCTTTCATTCATTCAACCATTCGCCCCGTAAAGAGCTTTATATTAATTACATGGGGAAATACTAGTGAACACTGAAACTACAGTAACACAATAATTTTCCCTAGAGATTATAAAGCAAAAAGAAAGACTTAGAAGACACTACATAAGGAAAATACAAGGAAAAAGGAAGGGGGATACATAGAGAAAGAGGCAGATTCTAACACTTAGCCAAGGGGCCAGGCCGCCAGCAAGGCAGCCTTGGCTCCCAAGGCTGGTAGCACCAGCTAGCGCACGTGCATTGGTTGTGTTTGTGGGGAGCCGGATTGTGTGGGTTGCTTGGGGAGCAAGGGGTGGATGGTCCTCACCTAACCTCTTGCTCTCCACTTGACACTTGTTGTTTGTTGATTAACTTGCATTTTAGTTTGTTTTTGAATTAAAATAAATTGAATAAAGTGCATTTTAGTTCTTTGCTCATCAACGGACCTCCCTTTTTTACCTTGCAAAACTTGGAATAATTAATAAGTATGTTAGAATTAATTACTTAGGTTATGCATGTAAAAATACATTTACAAGTTCAGTTAGGCAAAAATTTATTACTTAGGCCTATTTGACTACTAGGATGCCTATTTCCTACATTTCTTATCAAATGAACTCATTCTTTCTCATAACATGTCAACATTACTTAGTTATAGGCGGCTAAGGCTTGAAATCACATGAAAAGAGCAATTTAAGGGTTTTAGGACGCATTTTCATCCAAAATGACCCAAATAAGGCCTATTTGACTACTAGGATGCCTATTCCCTACAATTCTTGTCAAATGAACTCATTCTTTCTCATAACATGTCATTATTACTTAGTTATAGGGGACTAAGGCTTGAAATCACATGAAAAGAGCAATTTAAGGGTTTTAGGATGCATTTTCATCCAAAATGGCCCAAGTAAGGTCTATATGACTACTAGGATGCCTATTTTTCCTACATTTCTTGTCAAATCACATGTTAAGAGAAAATAAACTAAGTCAATGGCATACCTCATCAAGCTGTAGTGTGTCTGTACAACGACTCACTATGTCAAACATTAATCTCATCACGTATAGGCCACAATCAACTCCGTTATCTTGTTGTGCGCACTAGCATAGGAACAAAGTACATGAATCAAACATGCATAGCAAATTAGTAAAATTTTACGCATTGTTTATTACGAAAATCACAATATCATGTGGCATTACCATCGGTGATTTCCATGTGGGACCTTGAGGAGCTTGATAATTTATCTTCTTCATAACACTATAGAAAAGTAAGTTTAAATTTGATTAGTATGACTAATAAATGAGTTAGGTAATGATAATCAACACTAGGTAGCTTTATTTACTTTTGCAGTATGGACTTCACGAGGAGATTTTTTGGATGAGGCAATCGAGCTGAATCAAAAAGGAATATTATGTTATTGGAAACACAAATCACCAGCAGGGTCCAATGCAAACTACACAAATTCACAATAGACAAACAAATCAATAATTAGCCATGTACAACCTATAATCAGGGGAAACAAATGAATTTGACATGGTTAGACGTACACCTTATAACATGGGGCGAATATGAAGTTGTCTCCCGCACGCACTGATTCCATGATACTTCGTTCAACATAGTACAACACGTCAGGGTGGTTGGCTAAGATTCTAGTAGTGGAGATCTGCTCGGAGCATAACCACCTAACTTGACACGGAGAATTAATGTCACATAAGTGCTCCTGTAGTGCTCTACATGCATGATAATAGAATATTAATGGAAAAATGAATGACAATCACCACTAATCTGAATAACATAATTTGAGCGGCATTGAATTACCTCATGAATGTTTGAATGAGGGAAATGTTAAGCATTGAACCACTTAGAAATTCCTTCACATCTTCTTTGCTGAGCCATGTAATTGCATCGTCATCATAGTGGAACAATGCCTTAGTTAGTGCAACTTCAATGGGAGTGTCACTAGGCAACATACTAACACGGTTGTGTAGATAAGTTAAATCTTTAGAGAGCGATTGAAGGACCGTGTCTGCAACAAGTGGAGTGGCTTGCATAGCTGAACCTCTAGAAGAGTTCTTCTTCGACGCTTTTTCACTCTCCAACCGTTGTTCACTCCTCTTCTTTGCCATCGGTTGATCAATGCTTTTAGGCTGCTCCACCCTCCTTCTCTTTGAAGTTTGGCTTTTCTTCGAAATCCGATAAAGCAAATCACGCAATTGGTTAGAAAATAAATCCATCCAACTCTTGGGAAGACAACTGGGCATAGAGTAAAGAGTGAACCCAAAATCTTACCTCGTTGATCAACCTTACCCAAGCACATGGCCATTGCACAAAGCTACCTTTTTCTTCTCAGAGTGTAGTAATCCCATCCTCCTCTACAGGCACCAGTACTAGGATGTACTCGAACCCCGCAATCACAGAATTGATCCCGAGCGAGTAATGTTGTGGCCTAAGTGGTCTCTTCCTACACCAATTTGGAAGAAGAAATTTCATTAGCAAAGCGATTATAAATAAAACCCACATCGAAAACAAAACCGAAAACAAAACAAGCCAAGGCAACAAAAAAGGCTTACAACACACCACAACACCGAACAAAACTACACAAATAAGCAAACAACAACACCACACACTGATCTGGAATTGATCCATGATCCGGAACTCATACAAGCCAATGAACCTAACAATTCAAAAGGGCCAAACACACGTTCAAGGGTCCAAAAAGATCAAGTTCCTATTATCCATGGGTTGTTTTTTCATGGGTCCAAGTTAGACAAAGTGCAACGCATGGGCTTTGATGTTACTTCGTCATTATACAATTCATGCTTGACTTGGATAGATGACTAGGCGTAGAAGGTGTTTACTTGGATGCCTTGGATTCTTTCTTTACTTTGGGGAAAGGATCTTCTTGGATACTTGTTGTTTAGGAGGCAGCCAAAGCAAGGGAATAAAGAGGAGGATACACTCGGTTTTGATGGGCATTTAAGAGGGATGTTACACACCCTTTTGGACGCCACTCTTGGAGCTTAAAACTCCTTAGTTTAATTGCTTTTTAATACTAGTTAATTATATGTTTATTTTCAGTTGTTAGAAGTAATTAGCTAAGCTTAAAGTGGCTGTAATAACATTGTAACAGTCGACCTTTACAAGGGAGAAGCTGGGCGGATCTACAGCGAGTTCCTTCAGGAACTTCAACAGTTATTAGCCTTTAATAGGTGACGATTTCCAAGGAAAATGTTACACATGAGGGCTGGGTATACCTGGCGACTTTTTGAGTTCTTTGTTGGTGACTTTTAAGTTCCTTTTAATTATTTTAGCTAAGTAGATAATTAATGTAACTAGCTACTTCCTTAGCCTATAAAAGGAAGTCTTATCTAGCTTGTAAGAGGAAGATTTTATGAATGAAATATTTACCTTTGAAATATACCTTGTGTTATTTCTTTTAAACTTGTGGATTCAAGTTTACTTGAACTCGTGGATTCGAGTTTGTGAGCTTAACTCGGAGTTTTCGGGGTTAGCTTGTCTTATGGTTAGTA